CCATGTGCATCCGCATTTCTTACCGTATGGACGACATACACCTACGCCCTGCTGGTGCGCAATGATAGCTCCGTTATACGCCGTCCGTGCCTTCGTCCCCCGGACGCGGTGACCGCCGTCAGCCCAGCCTCAACCCGCCGCAAGCCGTGACTCGGCGCCCGCCACCTCCGTCCGGCAGGCGAGCGCGAGGACTCGCGGCGCATCCCGAGCGTGCCGTGCCCCAGCGTCCGCTCGCACCCCTACTGGGCCAAGACGCCGACCAGTCGTCCCGATGGGCCGGCACTTCGGCGACCCGCTCGGCGCCGCCGGCATCGCGCACAGCGCAGAGCCTGACCTTTGCAAAGCCCTTCGACCAGTTGACGGCGCATGTACTCGCTGGGACCGGCATCATTCTAAAGCGGCATGAGACGGTCCGGTCCAGTCTGATCACCAGCTCCAGCCGTCGCGGCAATACCGTCGGCGCGTGGCCCGAGGCGGTGGCGGCCACCTCGGCCACGCCGGCGGCGCGACGGCTACCGGCTCCGGCCACCCCTAGGAAAGGCCTGGTCCGGCCACCGCCAGCGCGTTACGTGACGGCGAGGCGCCGCCTCCCAAAAAGCCGTCGGCGACAGCACACTGCCCCCCACCCCCCCCCCCCCCCCCCCCGCCCTGGTATGCTGCGCCGCAACATACTAATCCAGATAGCAGCGTGCACTTTCACGGGTATCTCAGCTAACGTTTGTCAGGCAATTCAGCCCACGGCAATATAGGAGCGACAGCAAACTGACGGGTCACTATCCAGCTGCATCGTCCGACAGCCTGTCCATGTGACGTTAAAGAACAGCATCACGCTTTAAAACACGTACCAAGCACAACATAAGCCTTTGGACTGACGACGCCTTCCCAAAATCCACAGGCCTCTGATGATGGCAGTGGTGATAACCGTCATCCACAAACATCTGAACAGAGAGCTAGCTGTATGTCTGAAAAAGACGAAGCTGCCGACATGCCGAGAGCATTAAATGGTAACCCAGGACGGAGCCGTGAAGCCCGCAACACAAGTAAGGACTGTATTCCTGAGTCTCTGATCTGTATTTCCCGAGTCAGCAAACCATACAAGCATTATTGCTGGCTATCTTAGACGCTGTACGTCCGCAGCGGACGCCAAGTTTGTTATGATCACGCAAACATGTGGCAACGGCCCAATACATATGCGTTTTCCGCAATGGAATCGGTTGGTTGCCACGACTGAGTGCTAATCTGAATCCCAATAGTGGCGGAATCGGACCACAATCACAGACCTGAATTCACGTATCAGGAAGATTCCCGTGAAAACATTGTGTTACGGCAACGGTAGTGCACGGCATCAGATATGGCTATCATCTCCCTCCGTCACCCGCACACACAACAGCGGCAACGAGCATCACATTCCGGTAACACAGATAGATAACCACTCAGCACCTGGCGTTACCTATCGTTTTCCAACCACACTCCCAAGCGTCCCCAAGCGTCCCCAAACGCTGCGGTCCGGCCCAACCCACGCCGAGGTTCGGTCCGCCTCCTCGGAGCTCGACCACGACCGGCGCGCGGGGATGCGCGAGCGAGCGAGCCGCCGAGGCCGCGTCAGTCACCCCCCGGCGACCGACGGCGGCTCTCGCCTCAGCAGAGACCCGAGCGGGACGGTCGCGTCCATTCAGCCGACCGCACTCACACCCTGCTATCTCACACGGAGCCACGTGGGACAGGCCGGCCTCATGGAAAACAACTACGCTAAGCGCAGCAAAATTACGTGTGAGGGGATTTGAGTTGTACGCCATGCCGTTACGCCAACATTCCACGCCACCAATGCGACAACGCCGCATCGCTACAGCTTAGCGAAATCGGCCGGGGGAGCCTTGCGGTCCATGGAGGCGGTGGCCGCCTTCATGATGTCCTCCGACTGCAGCATGGCCGCGTTCCAGGCCACCATGTGGTCGAGGCCCTCCTGCACCGTGTGGTCGCGCGAGAAGATCAGGTTCTGCTTGGTCGACTGCACCGCCACCGGCGACTTCTGCGCGATGGTGGCTGCCAGGCTGATCGCCGCCGCCAGTAGACTGCGGACAGGCGGAGGAGCAGGCGATGCCGGTTACCATGACAACAGGGCTGTGTGGCTGTCACAAGCGGGGAAGGGACTGGAGTGGAGCAACGCAGCGAAGGTGCGATGCACAGCTGTGGCCAGCGCGAGACGAAGGACACGACGTAACAGGAATCTAATTAGGAACCCTGGGGAGAGCAGTCGCGTTGATGTACAGTAGAGCGGCGGGGGGGGGGGGGGGAGGGGAGGACTCAATGAGGAAATTAGCCAAAAAATTGGAAAGGACAATATTGCGAAATAATCATGAACACACCAGCAATCGGATGGCGGCGGCTACAATGCTACAACGGACACGCAAACAACAGACGTGTTGTTTACTGGATTCATTTTTACGGCTTGTAGTGAATGATACGTGGGTTCCAGCCTGGACACAGGGAGCTAAATGCGCCACTGCAGCACAATTCTGATGGATGCGATTGGGAAGAGCGGTACGTTCCCGGCGGTTCCGTATTTTACATACTACGAACCACACTGCGATACATTTCTACAAATTTCACTAAAAAATAATTCTATCGCGCACACTCGATGGCTGTATCCGACATCATTTTCAAGTGATTGCAAGATGTGATTCTTTTTCGGTGTCATACATCGCGGTGTCTGCGGAGAATGAGGCACTTTTTAACAAGCAGTAATAGCAATTGGGACTTTCCGGCGCTTTGACTACGAAGTGATATAATGCCCATCAAATCACTTATTTTGTGTTGCGAGCATTATGCAGCCTTTGTCACTGGTTCATGACCTCAGAGGTAAATTATCTATTTAGTTTTCTTTTTGTCATCCCTGTTGTTCATTATCATCTAACAGTATAATGGAAATGTCATCGCCACTTTATATAAACGTGTTTTTATTCATTTTGATAAGATGAGCAATGCAAGGCGCCACCTATCCCTGCATCCAGGTAGCAGCACCGACGGAACTCGCTCTCGGGGTACGGAACAGCCGCTTACAGTACCTGTCACTGGGTACGGGTCAGGCCAACAGAATCGTCACTGGACCGGGGACGCCGGGCCGTGTCACTGGTTACTAACCCCGCACCATCCAATTGTTGTGGCTTCTGCACGCGGGACAGGCGATCGAACTGGGACGCCACAATGGATGTCTGGATTAGGGATGTAGGTTTTCTTTGGAGGAGCCTTCAGGATACAGGACATGTTCATATATATCCATAACGTCAACTGGTCATTAAACCCGCACCATCCAACTGTTGCAGCTTCTGCACGCGAGACAGGCGATCGAGCTGGGACGCCACAACGGATGTTTGGATTAGGGATTTGGGTTTTCTTTGGAGGAGCCTTCAGGATACAGGATATGTTCAGTTATATCCATAACGTCAATGGGGGAACATCATAACGTTATAACCACGGGATACGTCCATAACGCCAATAAGCATTTAGTGATGCGACATGGGACAACCATTTGTCACTGATCCCAGCCCCCCCCCCCCCCCCTGTCCCTGTGCCGGTACACCCACCTGTCCCCTGTCCCTGTGCCGGTCCACCCACCCGTCCCCACCAGCGAGCCCTCAGTCCCGGCGCACCTGTGTCTGTCGCTGAGCACGCGGCTGACGAGGCCGCACTGGAGCGCCTCCTGCGAGCCGAGCCGGCGCGCCGTCAGGCACAGCTCGTTCACCAGACTCCGGCTGCCAATCACCTTCGGCAGCCGCTGCAGCGTGCCCACGTCCGCTGCCAGCCCTGCGACAGGCGTCGATGTCAGCAGCCGCCCCAAACAGCGAGAAGCTGTGAGCTGTCCGCGGCACAGCGCCCTTCCTTGCGAGCCTCTGACGTCAACGGTGGACAGATAGCGGTGTTTTTAATGCCCGAAGAACAGCTTTTAAAGAGGTGAGCGGATCACACCACAATTCAATGGATCACGCGAAAAATTTTCGCCTTGGTCCAAGATTTTGGTGAAAACCTGTTGACAAAGTTACCTGGTGATCCCAAGTAAGATATGTCATTTCAGCACTATCAAAGCGACAGCAACACGTGGCCTTGGTCAGTTCGGCAGGTCACGCTGCTCAACTATCTTAGCATACGGCCTGCAAGCAGTCGTATTTTCTGCCAGGAAACAGTTCGTTTTAAGGTCTAATGAACCGGTGACCAATTTGACAACACTATTTCTCCAGGTAGCTGTACCTTGTGAACTTACATTCCATGACCTAGCATAATAGTAGGAGTGTAGGCACAAATGCGAACTGCTTTCGGCTTAGAATGGATTCCCATCATTGAACTCCTAATAACAAAACACATATTCGTTCTAAAATATCGATTCTACGATGATTATGAGCCATAACATGCTCTCGTCGCTCCCCATCAAAACTATGCACCCTGATGTCACGTGCCTTCACGTCTGTTTACAAGTCTGTTTTCAAGTCTGCTTCACATATGTTTTCACGTCTGCTTCACATATGTTTTCACGTCTTCTTCACGTGCCAGTGCCAATAGCTATCAACGTTGCCAGTCTTCAACACAGCACACACGTCCGTGCGCCGCATCACGCCAGGCGGCGCTCCCCGTGCCGCCGCGCCCGCCCCGGCACCGACACTTACCGATGTCCACCTCCTTGACCTGGAAGAACGCATCCTGGGAGCAGAGGCGGACGTCGGCCGCCGTCACCATGTCGACGCCGCCGCCCACGCACGCGCCGTGCACGGCGGCGATCACCGGCTTACGGCACTGGCGGTCACGGACACACACTCACGGTCAGAGGGGATCAGCCGCAGTTAGAGTGAGTTGTTACAGCGACAGGGTTCCCTGGCACAGTCCGACGGAGAAGAGGGGCGCGAAAGTTGTCCGATAGGCGAGATAAGCCATGATCAGGCAGGGAACCCCACTACACAGAAGGGCAGTAGTCAGACAGAGAAATTCACGATGGCACAGAAAGAAACACAGGTTTTGAAAGAATAGGGAAATGTCACATTAGGAGATTAGCCCCGACACCATCGAATGACACATCAGATCTTAGGTACATTCTAGGAAATGAGCAAGCCACCGAGTTATCCACAATGGCGCCGTCTGCGAAGCATTGTATTTCCGAAACGTATGCCCGGCTGACTGCCGTGGCACATACCTTTTCAATATCAGTGAACCAGTCCTGGTAGTTTTTGATGGTGCGGTGCAGCTTGAAAGCCTTCCTAGACACGTCACCGTCGCCCATAGCCACGCTGCCAACGGCCATCAGGTCGCTGAGGTCAATCCCGGAGCTGAAGAGGCGGCCGGCGCCGCTCAGCACCACGGACCGGCACTCGGCGTCCTCGTGCAGCTGCTGGAAGCACACGCCCAGGTCCCTGCCAGGGTGAGCAGGCTTCCGTTATGGCAGTTCGTGCTGGTCTGGTGCAGATTATGTTGTGACATAGCAATGCTGGTCAGAGCTGAATTGGTGCAATGGGCTGTGACAATCCAGATATAAACATGTGGACTATGCACTTGTTTACATGTTTCTTACTTTGTGTAGTTTACCAGAACCATATCACTCTATTAGGCATACAAGGCAGCCTCCCTGAGCTTACTTACTTCCACATTTCAGTGTTGAGAGCATTCAGCTTGTCAGGCCGGTTCATCTCTACATGAACCACATACTCCACGGGTTGTGTGACATTCAGTGTCTTGTACTGGGCATAGTCAGCCAGGCTGCTGGCCATCCTGACTGTCTGGAGGCTTTGCCGAGCTGCTGTAAATGACAGGATGATGTAAGAAAGACTACTAAATCAGGAATCAGGACATAGCCAAAGTGTCCTGTAGGCTAGTCAATGGCATAATTACCCCCCCCCCCCCCCCCCCCCCCCCCCCCCCAACTCTTTGTGCAGGTATATCTCTCCCAGGCTGTTAAGGTTAAATACATGCAGAGCTGATGCCAGCTGTTGGATGCAGTTAAAAAATGCAACCAACATGAGCACGGCAAAATCAGCCCATCAGCTATAAAACAGGTACATTTTGCATGAGTGACATCCAAGGTTTCTGTGTTTCTTTCCATGTGCTCAGGGGTGACAGATAAAACCAAGAGTGGATAAGGGAAAGGAGATAAGATGCCCTAGTGCCAAAATGCAAAGTATGCATGTTACTCTGAACATAAATAGCATAAGTGACATTCTGGTGACATTTCAGACCATGTATGCTGCACATCAGATCTCTCAGTTTTGTACACAGTCATCACCAATAACAGGGCATAATGAACCCAACCCAGGCCTCAATTAAGCATGGCAGTGAGAAGACAATTTCAGGCAAGGTTACCTCCAAAACTCTTTCACACAAAAACAATTTGAAGGTTTCAGTGTAGACTGTAGTGCACCACTGTCACAAAAGGCATCTTAGTGCAGTGGCTTGAATTTTACAGACCGGCCCTGAGCAATGCTAAACATGGGTGAACATGAAGAGAAATAACATAAAACCACATTTGCTGAAAATCATCACTGTAGCCAGGGCTTCTACCCGCATCCTCTGTAACATCATCATTCATCATCATGATGTGAAACATACCAGATATGACTTGAAATACCAGATAAGCCAGCATCGTTTCAGCCGATCAAACAGGTAAACAACGAGAAGCGATAGACGATCATACCACAGATGGTTTAGTATTAAGCTAAAGTTATACGAATTTCGAATTGACGCGGTAGAGTTGGTACTTTTCCAATCTATCCATACATCATCCCAGTAGCACATGGTATCCACGAAACATACCAATTCTCTGAATCTTCAACATAGCCGCAAAGAATGAGCTTTAATGTCCGCAGCAAAAAAGGAAACAAAATAGCAGAATGGGCGATGGAGACGAGACGCGAATTTGCACCAGCTCGGTACATAACATATTACGCTTATAGCGCATACGTGACGAATGCGGGGGCTGAACGCACTAAAATCCGAATTAGCAGTTTTTAATCATCACAGTTTTAATGCGTGTTAATCCCAAATAAGATGGAAATGGCGCTGTCAGAGCAGTGGTGTGTGGTCGATGCTGTGTAAGCAGCTTTTGATGGTACCCAATGCTTTAAGTGGCGTGACAAATTTTCAAGCCGAAAGTGTCGCACCTGGTTTTTCTCTCAATCATGCTCCGTGTAGACGTCCTCCACCTTTCCTGATCATCCCGCTGCTCAAGGCAAGGAACCGTCAATCATCGATGTTCCAGCTTTCCTGTACAGACCTCTTCACATCGATTAAGGGCACGTATCAACATAACCTTAGCGATGGATACGAAGGAGTCCAAAGAATCCAGGCGCCGCCACGCCTTGTGAACTCTACTGAATTTGCTAACTCAACTGAAACTCATGGTGCTTCTCTAATACATTTTATTTTTATACATAACGTGTAAACACATGTGGCTCAGACAGCCGTGGCAAAGACTGAACAGAACAAAACGGTCCCGAGAGCCCCTCCCCCCTCCCGCTCGCGGGAGCGAGAGCTGGGGCCACCGGCATCCACATTCAGCGCAGCAGGGGCCCCAAGTCACAGCGTTAACCGGCGGGAATCGAGAGCTCGAACGACGGTAGCCACCGACAGCTTTGTGCAACTAATGCTGCAAGGACACACAACTAACTGCCGACGCCGATGGACCCCTGACTGGGAGAGCCGAGGCAGGAACGGAACCTCCGGCGCGGAAGCGAAATTCGGGTGCGACTACACACACGCGATGACAATGCATGTCGCGCGCCTACCAGAGCGCTTCTAACAGACCGCAATCGACAATTGAACACGTGCGACGCAGCCTGGGCGCCACCTCACAACCGAGATCCACCACAGCGCAGCGCCGCTCGGCGGCCACTCCCCAAACTACCTAGCGCGGGCAGCCGGGGCGGGGGGCGGGCCAGGTTGCCTGCCATGTTGTGACCCATCGAGCGCGCGCTCCGGCAAACGGCCGCCGCCACCCAGCTGACCAAGCCCGGTGCAACATCACACACACGCCTCCACAGCGCGGAGCCATAACCCGGCCGCCCACACGCGCCTCACCGCACCGCGCTGACACGTCACACCGTCCCAGCCCGGCCGGAAGCTCCGCTGCCACGCCGCGCCCAGCCCACACGCGCCCCTTAAAGCGACCGCGGCCTCACCAGCAGCGAACGGACGGGTAAAACGGTCCTTATCCAGCTGTGCCGTCTCTTTACAGAATACCTTCAAGCCCTACGCTTTAGTAATTATTAAATAATGCGTGCAAAGCACAACAAAAAGCTTTGACTGAAGGTGCGCTCTAAAAATGAACAGGCATCTGATCGCAGTGGCAAGATGGTGTCCGTTGCCTACAAACATTCAAACAGTAAGGTAGCTGTAGACCTGAAAGAGACGGGGCTGCAGCGCTGAAGAAAGCATTGGAACGCTACCCACCACGAAACGGGTGGTTTCACAATGTAAATAACATCTCTGACTTGTATTTCTCCGAGGTAACGAGTCATACACATATTATTAGCTATCTCACGACGCCGCACGTTAGCAACTGATGCGTAACTTATTAGCTATCGTTAGCCACTCATGTAGCTGCAGCAAAAACACACCCTTTTTCGCAATGGAACCGGAAATGCTGCGGTAATGAAATCGGTAAGTGCTGCGACAGTGGAACCCGTAAGTGCAGGACTGCGTGGAATCGGTAAGTGCTGCGACAATGGAATCCGTAAGTGCAGGACTGCGTGGAATCGGTAAGTGCTGCGACAATGGAATCCGTAAGTGCAGGACTGCGTGGAATCGGTAAGTGCTGCGACAATGGAATCCGTAAGTGCAGGACTGCGTGGAATCGGTAAGTGCTGCGACAATGGAATCCGTAAGTGCAGGACTGCGTGGCCGTCACAGGTGGTGAAGGAACTGGGCTGGGGCAGCACGGCGAAGAAGCGATGCATAACTGTGGTCGACGGGTGGCGAAGGACACAAGGCAACAGGAAACCAACTGAAAGCCTCGGGGGGTTAGAGTCATCATTATTGTTAGCGGGAGGGAATACTGCGGCAATGAGGAAATCAACCATGTAGTTGGGGGCTGCAAGAGATGCGGAACATGAATGAAAGCGCACGAACAATCAGATTATAGTGGTAACGGTGGTACGGCGCTACAGATTATGACAGCAACGGGCCATGTAGTTGATTATAGTATATTCTATTGCTGTATGTAGTGGAATGTATCGCCTCCTGTCTTGACGCCTGGCGCTCAATGCGCCATTCCGACACAACACTTATGGATGAAATTCAGAACGAATTCACGGTCTTATTGATTTGGTATTTGTAATGCTATTTAAGACACTCACATGTAGCAACTCTCCTAGCCCAAGAAACACCTCCAATGACAAATAGATGCCGCAGAAACTCGGGTTGCTCCGGTAAGCGTGTATTCCTTATTCCCAATCCACGAAATTACGCGGTCCTCACCAGCCAATGTGCATGGCTTTGGCACCCTCTTAATCGTGGCTGCATACTTCCTTTATTTCGCTGCGGTCAGGCATTAAAAAAAGCTTTACACTTAACACCTGCTCTGAATTTCTGGCGCCACAAACGCCCACGAATAGCTGAGATTGTCACCTTCTGTTTTGTTTATGCAGTATAGCTCTCGCCTCCAGATGTTACGGACAGACTAAATCACTAAATCTCATAAAACCCTATGGACGCCATCAGCTTGCTCGCATGAGACCCAGGTCGCCCACTCCGGTGCACCATCCGGCATGCAAAACGGATCGTTGACACCCTCATGGCCACGGGCTGCCAAGGACGACCGCGGCCGGCAGCCTTCGCGCTGGTTACCATTGGAACGGGCCCAGCTGGCAGGCCGTGTGCCCTATGATAACCGACAGTATACCACGCCTCGTCAAATAAACATGCTACGGGGCGCCACCTGTCTCTGCAACAAGGTGGCAGCACTGCCGGGACTCGGTCTCCGGGTACGGGACAGCCACCTGCAGCACCCGTCATTGGGTGCGGCACAGGCCAACATACCTGAACACATATATCAGGAAGATTCCCTTGAAAACATTGTGTTACGGTAACAGTAAAGCATGCATTAGATATGGTTATCATCTCCACCCGTCCCCCGCACACATCACAGCGGCAACGAGCATCACATTCCGGTAACACAGATCGATACCCACTCAGCACTTGGTGCTACCCTTCGTTTTCCAACCACACTCCCAAGCGTCCCCAAGCGTCCCCAAACGCTGCGGTCCGGCCCCAACCCACGCCGAGGTTCGGTCCGCCTCCTCGGAGCTCGACCACGACCGGCGCGCGGGGATGCGCGAGCGAGCGAGCCGCCGAGGCCGCGTCAGTCACCCCCCGGCGGCCGACGGCGGCTCTCGCCTCAGCAGAGACCCGAGCGGGACGGTCGCGTCCATTCAGCCGACCGCACTCACACCCTGCTATCTCACACGAAGCCACGTGGGACAGGCCGGCCTCATGGAAAACAACTACGCTAAGCGCAGCAAAATTACGTGTGAGGGGATTTGAGTTGTACGCCATGCCGTTAGGCCAACATTCCACGCCACCAACGCGATAACGCCGCATCGCTACAGCTTGGCGAAATCGGCCGGGGGAGCCTTGCGGTCCATGGAGGCGGTGGCCGCCTTCATGATGTCCTCCGACTGCAGCATGGCCGCGTTCCAGGCCACCATGTGGTCGAGGCCCTCCTGCACCGTGTGGTCGCGCGAGAAGATCAGGTTCTGCTTGGTCGACTGCACCGCCACCGGCGACTTCTGCGCGATGGTGGCTGCCAGGCTGATCGCCGCCGCCAGTAGACTGCGGACGGGCGGAGGAGCAGGCGATGCCGGTTACCATGACAACAGGCCTGTGTGGCTGTCACAAGCGGGGAAGGGACTGGAGTGGAGCAACGCAGCGAAGACACGATGCACAGCTGTGGCCAGCGCGAGACGAAGGACACGATGTAACAGGAAACTAATTGGGGACACTGGGGAGAGGCAAAGTTGGGTTGGTGCTCAGTGGAGAAATGGGGAAGGGGGAGGGGAAGATGTAATGAGAAAAGTAGCCAACTATTTGCAAAGGACAATACTGAGAGGCATTGATGAAAACGCACAAGCAATCTGATGGCGGCAGCAACAATGCTACGGCGTTGCAGGACGTGCCAGCAACGGACCGTGTTCTTGATCACATTATTTTTTACGGCTTGTGGTGAATGACAAATGGGTTCCAGACTGGACACTGGGTGCTGAATGCACCACTGCAGCACACTTCTTACGGATGCGATTCGGAACAGCGGTACACTCCTGGCGGTTCCGCATCTTCAATACTACGAGCACCACTAGATATAAATTAAGATGTATCTCGCCAAAAAGCATCACGTTGCGCACACTCGATGGCTCCATCCGATATCAATTTCGAAAGTGATTACAAGATGTGGTCCTTTTTCAATGTCACGCATTGCAGTATTTCCAGAGCATGAGTGCACTTTGTAACCACCATTAGTAATAGCAACTGGAGCTTTCCGGCGCTTCGACTACGAAGTCATGTAGCGCCGATCAAATTTCTTCTTGTTGCGAGCATTATGCAGTCTTTGTCACTGGTTCATGACCTCAGAGGTAAATTATCTATATAGTTTTCTTTGTGTCATCCCTGTTGTTCATTATCATCTAACAGTATAATGGAAATGTCATCGCCACTTTACATAAGTGCTTTTTTTCGTATAGATACGGTGAACACTGCAAGGCGCCACCTGTCTCTGAAACAAGGTGGCAGCACTGATGGCACTCGGTCTCCGGGCACAGGGCAGCCACCTACAGTACCTGTCACTGGGTAGGGCTCAGGCCAACAGAATCGACACTGGGCCGGGGACAGCCGGCCGTGTCACTGGTTACCAATTCTGGATTGCCCAATTATTGCGTCTTCTGCACGCGGGACAGGCGATCGAGCTGGGACGCCACAACGGACCTCTGGGTTAGGGATGTGGGGTGACCTCGGAGGACTGCCTTTAGAACACGGGATATATCCATATATATCCATAGTCAATGGGGGAACGTCGTAACACCATAACCACGAAACATATCCATAACGTCAATGTGCGTTTAGAGATGTGACATGGGATAACCATACGTCACTGACCCCAGCACCCCCCCCCCCCCCCCCTCCTGCCCCCTGTCCCTGTGCCGGTACACCCACCTGTCCCCTGTCCCTGCGCCGGTACACCCACCCGTCCCCACCAGCGAGCCCTCAGCCCCGGCGCACCTGTGTCTGTCGCTGAGCACGCGGCTGACGAGGCCGCACTGGAGCGCCTCCTGCGAGCCGAGCCGGCGCGCCGTCAGGCACAGCTCGTTCACCAGACTCCGGCTGCCAATCACCTTGGGCAGCCGCTGCAGCGTGCCCTCGTCCGCCGCCAGCCCTGCGACACGCGTTGATGTCAGCAGCCGCCCCAAACAGCGAGAAGCTGTGAGCTGTCCGCGGCACAGCGCCCTTCCTTGCGAGCCTCTGACGTCAACGGTGGACAGACAGCAGTGTTTTTAATGCCTGGAGAACAGCTTTTAAAGAGGTGAGCGGATCACACCACAATTCAATGGATCACGCGAAAAATTTTCGCCTTGGTCCAAGATTTTGGTGAAAACCAGTTGACGTAGTTACCTGGTGATCCCACGTAAGATGTCATTTCAGCACTATCAAAGCGACAGCAACAGGTGGCCTTGGTCAGTTCGGCAGGTCACGCTGCACAACTATCTTAGCATACGGCCTGCAAGCAGTCGTATTTTCTGCCAGGAAACAGTTCGTTTTAAGGTCTAATGAACCGGTGACCAATTTGACAACGCTATTTCTCCAGGCAGCTGTACCTTGTGAACTTACATTCCATGACCTAGCGTAATAGTAGGAGTGTAGGCACAAATTCGAACTGCTTTCGGCTTAGAATGGATTTCCATAATTGAACTCCTAATAACAACACATATATTCGTTCTAAAATGTCGATTCTACAATGATTATGAGCCATAACATGCTCTCGTCGCTCCCCATCAAAACTATGCACCCTGATGTCACGTGCCTTCACGTCTGTTTACAAGTCTGTTTTCAAGTCTGCTTCACATATGTTTTCACGTCTGCTTCACATATGTTTTCACGTCTTCTTCACGTGCCAGTGCCAATAGCTATCAACGTTGCCAGTCTTCAACACAGCACACACGTCCGTGCGCCGCATCACGCCAGGCGGCGCTCCCCGTGCCGCCGCGCCCGCCCCGGCACCGACACTTACCGATGTCCACCTCCTTGACCTGGAAGAACGCATCCTGGGAGCAGAGGCGGATGTCGGCCGCCGTCACCATGTCGACACCGGCGCCCACGCACGCGCCGTGCACGGCGGCGATCACCGGCTTACGACACTGGCGGTCACGGGCACACACTCACGGTCAGAGGGGACCAGCCGCAGTTACAGTGAGTTGTTACGGCGACAGGGTTCCCTGGCACAGTCCGACGGAGAAGAGGGGCGCGAAAGTTGTCCGATAGGCGAGATAAGCCATGATGAGGCAGGGAACCCCACTACACAGAAGGGCAGTAGTCAGACAGAGAAATTCACGATGGCACAGAACGAAACACAGGTTTTGAAAGAATAGCGAAATGTCACGTTAGGAGATTAGCCCCGACACCAGTGAATGACACATCAGACCTTAGGTACTTTCTAGGAAATGAGCAAGCCACCGAGTTATCCACAATGGCGCCATCCGCGAAGCATTGTATTTCCGAAACGTATGCCCGGCTGGCTGCCGTGGCACATACCCTTTCAATATCAGTGAACCAGTCCTGGTAGTTCTTGATGATGCGTTGCAGCTTGAAAGCCTTCCTAGACACGTCACCGTCGCCCGTAGCCACGCTGCCAACGGCCATCACGTCGCTAAAGTCGATCCCGGAGCTGAAGAGACGGCCGGCGCCGCCCAACACCACGGACCGGCACTCGGCGTCCTCGTGCAGCTGCTGGAAGCACACACCCAGGTCCCTGCTAGGGTGAGCAGGCTTCCGTTATGGCAGTTTGTGCTGGTCTGGTGCAGATTATGTTGTGACATAGCAATGCTGGTCAGAGCTGAATTGGTGCAATGGGCTGTGACAATCCAGATATAAACATGTGGACTATGCACTTGTTTACATGTTTCTTACTTTGTGTAGTTTACCAGAACCATATCACTCTATTAGGCATACAAGGCAGACTCCCTGAGCTTACTTACTTCCACATTTCAGTGTTGAGAGCATTCAGCTTGTCAGGCCGGTTCATCTCTACATGAACCACATACTCCACAGGTTGTGTGACATTCAGTGTCTTGTACTGGGCATAGTCAGCCAGGCTGCTGGCCATCCTGACTGTCTGGAGGCTTGGCCGGGCTGCTGTGAATGGCAGGATGATGTTAGAAAGACTAATTGATCAGGGATCAGGACATACCCAAAGTGTCCTGCAGGCTAGTCAATGGTGTTATTACCACCTAACTCATTGTGCAGGTATATTTCTCCCAGGCTGCTAAGGTTTAATACATGCAAAGCTGATGCCAGATGTCGGATACAGTTTAAAATGTGACCAGCATGAGCATGACAAAAACAGCCCATAGGCTATACAACAGGCACATTTTGTATGAGTGACATCCAAGATTTCTATGTGTTTCTTTCTGTGTACTCAGGGGTGACAGATAAAATCAAGGGTGGATAAGGGGAAGGAGATGAGAATATGTCCTAGTGCCAAAATACATATCAGATCTTTCAGTTTTGTATACAGTCATCACCAATAACAGGGCATAATGAACCTAACCTAACCCAGGCTTCACAAAATTATGGCAGTGAGAAGAAAATTTCAGGCAAAAATACTTCCAAAACTCTTTCACACAATAACAATTTGAAGGTTTCAGTGTAGACTATAGCACACCACTGTCATAAAAGGTGTCTTGGTGCAGTGGCTTTAATTTTACAGACTGGCCCTGAGCAATGCTTAACATGGGTGAGCATGAAGAGAAATAACATAAAACCACATTTGCTGAAACTCATCATTGTAGCTGGGGCTTCTACCCTCATCATCTGACATCATCAGCTGTAAGATCATCATTCATCATCATCATCATGTGCAACATACCAAATCTGACTTGAAATACCAGATAAGCCAGCATCATTTCTGCTGATCAAACAGGTAAACAATGATAAGCAATAAACAACCACAGATGATTCAGCATTAAGCTTAGGGTTACGAATTTCGCATTAACGCGGTACAGTAGGTACTTTTTCAGTCCATCCATACACCATCCCAGCAGCACATGCTATCCACGAAACATACCAATTCTCTGAATCTTCAACATAGCCGCAACGAATGAGCTTTAGCGTCTGCAGCAAAAAATGGAACAAACACGCAGAATGAGCGATGGAGGCGGGACGCGAATGTGCACCAGCTCCACACTGCTCCGCAACAACTACTCAGCAATCTTGCCCAGCATGCAATATATTACGCTTATAGCGCATATGTGACGAATGTGGGGGCTCAACGTTAGATAGCCCTGGGCTTAATTAACGCGGGCTTAGCCCTGGGCTTAATTAATTAACCACTGCGCGTCTGGGAAACCAGAGGTACGGGGTTCGATTCCCCGCGGTGCCCGCCCTTCCTGCCAGGGTGAGAGGCAGGCGACGCCATATAGCCTCAGCAGCTGAGTGCGTCGTAAAGCCCCAATGACACACACACACAGCCTTGGGCTTAACGCACTAAAATGCGAATCAGCAACTTGTATTTATCACAGCTCCCATCCGTGTTAATTCCAAACAAGATTGAAATGGCGCTGTCAGAGCAGCCATGTGTGTTCGATGCTGTGTAAGCACTTTTTGATGGCACCCAAGGCTTTGAGTGTCGTCACAGATTTCCAAGCCAAAAGTGTCGCACCTGGTTTTTCTCTCAATCATGCTCCGTGTAGACGTCCTCCATCTTTCCTGATCATCTCACGCGCAAGGCAAGGAACCGTCAATCATCGCTGTTCCAGATTTCCTGAACAAACCTCGTCACAGCGATTAAGGGCACGTACCAACACAAACTTAGCGATGGATACAAAGGAGTCCAACGAATCTAGGCGCCTTCATTTTTTTATGAACTCTACTGAACTTTCTGACTTGACTCAAACTCAGGCGCTTCTCTAATACATTTTATTTTTATACATAACGTGTAAACACATGTGGCTCAGACAGCCGTGGCAAAGACTGAACAGAACAAAACGGTCCCGAGAGCCCCTCCCCCCTCCCGCTCGCGGGAGCGAGAGCTGGGGCCACCGGCATCCACATTCAGCGCAGCAGGGGCCCCAAGTCACAGCGTTAACCGGCGGGAATCGAGAGCTCGAACGACGGTAGCCACCGACAGCTTTGTGCAACTAATGCTACAAGGACACACAACTAACTGCCGACGCCGGTGGACCCCTGACTGGGAGAGCCGAGACAGGAACGGAACCTCCGGCGCAGAAGCGAAATTCGGGTGTGACTAACACACACGCGGTGACAATGCATGTCGCGCGCCTACCAGAGCGCTTCTAACAGACCGCAATCCGGCGATGAAACACGTGCGACGCAGCTTGGGGGCCACCTCACAACCGAGACCCAGCACGACGCATCGCCGCTCGGCGGCCACTCCCCGAACTACCTAGCGCGGGCAGCCGGGGCGGGGGGCGGTCCAGGCTGCCTGCCATGTTGTGACCCATCGAGCGCGCGCTCCGGCAAACGGCCGCCGCCACCCAGCTGACCAAGCCCGGTGCAACATCACACACACGCCTCCACGGCGCGGAGCCACGTCCCGGCCGCCCACACGCGCCTCACCGCACCGCACTGGCACGTCATACCGTCCCAAGCCCGGCCGGAAGCTCCGCTGCCACGCCGCGCCCAGCCCACACGGGCCCCTTAAAGCGACCGCGGCCTCACCAGCAGCGAACGGACGGGTAAAACGGCGCGCCGGCCGCGCGCCGGCGCTGCGGCCACCCCGCCTGCGCCACGGCCGACACCCCTCGCGTGCACGCACACGCACACGCACACGTCCGCACAGCCGACGCCAGCGCGGGACGCCAGCCCAGCGCCCGCTCCGCTGGGGAGGCGGCCCTCGGCGGCGCGAAGCCCGGCTCTGCCGCCTACTTGCGCTTGGGCGGCGTCTTGGGTGGCGTGACCGGCCGGCTGTTACCCATGCCGGCGTACTGGTACTTTGGCTTCTTCTCCGACGGCTTCAGGATCTGCCGTGCCAGGACACCACAGGGTGATCAATCAGGTGGCCAGAACAGGCCGACACGGATATGCTTCGTCTGTAAAACGCATTTCAACCCAACCACTAGGGCCTAAAATAGTTCCAGCTGCACTCGATCACATGTTCTTTATAAACAAACTGGGGCCAAAATGCTTGAGCGATTTAGCCCCACACATTCAAAGAACAGACAAACGGTCTCCTAAAGCCAACGATGCTCCTCGCACCTGGTCTCTCCGCAGCGCGGCACACCCCATCACATCACACTCGGGTGCGGTCACGGGCCGACGCTACCTGCCGGTCCCGAGCGCCACCCGATCACGCCACACTCGGGCGCGGTGACGGGCTAGCGCCACCTGCCCGTCCCGAGCTACATCCCATCACGCCACACTCGGGCGCGGTGACGTGCCGACAATAGCTGCCGGTCCCCCAGCTGCGCCCCATCACGCCACACTCGGGCGCGGTGACGGACCGACAATAGCTGCCGGTCCCGAGCCACACCGCATCACGCCACACTCGGGCGCGGTGACGGGCCGACAACAACTGCCGGTCCCGAGCCTCACCCCATCACGCCACACTCAGGCGCGGTGACGGGCCGACAATAGCTGCCGGTCCCGAGCCACACCCCACCATGCCATACTCGGGCGCGGAGACGGGCCAGCCCACCGCCGGTTCAGCGCAACGTACCTGGAAGGAGCACATGAGCGTCTCGTCCACGGACATCATGCCGCCGGCGTTGTCGAACTCGCCGCAGTAGTTGGGCGCCGAGAATAGCGTCACCAGCTGCCGCTTGGCGAAGAACTCGTAGCCGTCCTCCACCACCTGACGTCACAGAGCACTGATCACGGAGGTGACAAGTGCGCCGAACTGACACCGAACAACGCCACGACAGTTCGGTGCTGGTTCGGGGGCCTCGCGGCGGCCAGCTGCGAGTAACGCACGACGCCGGCGAGTTCCGTTTCACCTGGGTCAAGAACTAGCACAAAGACGGTCTGGAGACACGCATCCGCGCCCGGCGGCTCGTCCACACCAGCTTCTGACCGTGGAAGGGCGGCACGCCGGTGCCCATCAGTCCCACAGTCCGACGCCGACTTCCGCGCACCGCGGCTCACACTAACCGTCACAAAGAAACACCCCCTGGACTCAGGGGGCGCAGATGCCCTCACCGGTGCCCGGCGCGCGGAGCGGCGGGACCGACCTGGTGCGCGCGGCAGATGAGGTCCAGGTCGTGTCGGTTCAGGAACTTGGAGACGACGTCGGCGCCGAACGTGAAGGACACGCCCCGGTCGTTTTCGCCCCAGCCCTGCACGTCCTTGTCGGGGTCCGACCAGAGCAGATCACACAGCAGGCCTGGCGGGCAGGCGCCAGTCGGCTCAGTGCGAACACCGGGGAGGCAGCACAGGAGCGCGCGACACCGCCCTGCCCAATATATTGCGTGGCGCCTGGTAACAAGGGGGCAACACTGCGGTACACAGAACCGCTCTGCCCAGTGCGCTGCATGGCGTCTGGCAGCAAGGACACGTCTGGCCAGGTCTCCGATCTCTGTCGACACGTCTCTGTCCCGCATCGGGGACGTCTCTGACCTGTGTTGGGCACGTCCCTGCCCCGCGTCGGGGACGTCTAACCTGTGTCAGTCACGCCTCTGACCTGTGTCGGTCACGCCTCTGCCCTGCGTCGGGCACGTCTGTCCCGCATCGGGGACGTCTCTGTCCCGCGTCGGGCACGTATCTGACCTGTGTCGGGCACGTCTCTGTCCCGCGTCGAGAACGTCTCTTTCCCGCGTCGGGCACGTATCTGACCTGTATTGGCACGCCTCTGACCTGCGTCGGCACGCCTCTGACCTGTCGGCACGCCTCTGACCTGTGTCGGGCACGTCGGTGGGCCGCATGATGCGCCGGATCTGCTCCATGTTGTGCAGGTCGGGCGACAGGCCGCCGTGACAGCAAAAGATCTTCTCGTCAATGATGGCCGCGATCGGCAGACAGTTAAAACAGTCGGTGAACGTCTTCCACAGCTTAATGTTGAAGCGTCGTTTGCCTGGAAACCAATGACACAAACCCATATATATCCATCAGGGGAACACAGATGTACCGCGAACACTGACATGGGTTATGGAACACTGACATAAGTTAGGAAACACTGGCATACTGCGCCATTCCACACAGCGTGCAAACGTTCTACTTGTACTACAGATTCGTGGTTAACAGGAACATGATAACCAGCTGATGAACAAGTGATTAACTTCACATTTTTAACTGTTTGATTGCGATTAACCATGGCTTTAGCCACACCATCCCCTGTGCCTCACATCTGTGACAACCAGAAGTGTGATGACCAGGTCAACAGACGGAAGCTTGGTGTTAGGGCAGGACGCCTTTTTCGCCACCTGTGCACGAAGGCCCCACAATTGGACGCAGGACAGCCTTGTTTCACGCGACTCATACAAAGAAAGCCCTGTGTCGCCGCTCACACTCGTCGTAGAAGCCGTAGATGCGGTTGATGCTGGCGCACTCGTGGTTGCCGCGCAGCAGGAAGAAGTTCTCCGGGTACTTGATCTTGTAGGCGAGCAGCAGGCAGATGGTCTCCAGCGACTGCTTGCCCCGGTCCACGTAGTCGCCGAGGAACAGGTAGTTGGCTTCGGGCGGGAAGCCGCCGTACTCGAACAGTCGCAGCAGGTCCGTGTACTGGCCGTGGATGTCGCCTGCAATCAGAGCAGGTCAGGTCGGGTCAGGTCTGTGCACCGACACTGGGTGTCGCCTGAGCGCCGACTGGATCCCGGCAGGTCCGCATCCTGGCCATGGATGCCACTCAAGGTGTTAGCAGGTGTTGCTGTCAGGTGCGGTCCATGCACCAGCCACATGCAACACCTCAGAGTGGGCTGGAACAGGTGATCTGGTCAGCTGGGTCACAGCTGGGTCAGAGCATGCCCATGCCAAGCCTGAGGATATAACCCAAGTGCAGACCATATCAGGCTAGTCAGGTGAATTCAGTATCGGCTACGCAGGGTGACGTTTCAATATTCAGCCACTTGGGTGACAGGGATGTGAATTTTTTCGTGCTGTGATACATCCAGCTTGGAGTTCCTTGTCTGTTGCCCCTTCCCTTCCTTAATACAGGCCAGTCAGTATCAAAACGGGCAGCTGTGAACCCAGTATCTAAGTGCCTCCAACTTGATTAATGCACAAGGCTGGTGAGAGGTCTGGTTTGGGGGTCAAAGGCCGACGGATTAGACCCGACGCATCGCGTGAGGAAGCTGCCCGAGAACCAGGAATGCTGTTTATTTCTGGTGGCATGAATTTATATTTACATCCTGGACACCCTACCGGATGCATTTTGAAATGCTGATGGATGGCACCAGGTATTTAAGAAGCTTGAGTCGGGCCAGTCAGGTCAGCAAGCTGTTGAGCAGAGGTAGAGTCCTGACACGATACATCACACTTCACTGCAGCCAAGAATTACAGTCAGAGCCTGCACCATACATGCCATGACTTGTCAATTATCATGATCACTTGATGGCTATCCTGCAGTGCCTGCCAGTCCTGCCACGGTGAGAGGCAAGTGACACCAGCTGTAGCCTCAGCAGCTGAGTGCTTTGCGAAGCCCCAGTAGCGGTGATGACAATGATGACTTGATCGCTACAAGTACAAAACACAATGCTTGACATACACTGTTCTGCACGCTGCATATATGCATAGTTGATGATGATTTGGGGTTTTAGGGCGCATCGACTGCTAGAGGTCATGCAGCGCCCATAACTATCGATTCATGCAGAGCCGTCAATCAGAGAAGTGCATCAATCAGGTCACCCTATAGAGCCATGATGATTGGCCCTAGCATCACGATGAGAAGATTACAGGAAAATCTACAGCGCGAAGGAACTGGAGCACTTTACCAAACCCGACGATGTTCGAAGAACCCCCTAAAAAGTCGCATAGCGTGCGACTCTGGACGTGGCGTCCGAAAAACTGCGCTCTCGTTGCAGTAAGGTGGCGGCAAGCGACCAGTACGTGATGCACGGTCAGTGGATCAGAGCATCGACCGCAGCATGGTCTGTCGCCAGCCAATAGCAGGTGACGGTGCGTAGCATATGTGTGACCTATGCGTAACCGGCAAAGGGCAACTTCTTTCACCCTATTGTCCCGAAAGCACGACTGCCATAATCCAATGCGGGGTTTCACCGACTGCAGCTTGCTGGCGCTCAGCGAGTTCCAGTAGAACTGCCATCGCTTCTGCACAAACAGCGACACTGCGGGGTACATGTCTTGAGCAGGTAGTGGTGTTATAGGGAATTCTAGTCCCTGTCGTAGCGCGCTTTGCTGCCGCGTCAGCAAGATCATTTCCGCATATCCCCACGTGACTTGGGATCCAGCATAGAACGACCGTTTTTCCTGCTCGATCCAGTGAGCTAAGACGAGATTGAATGTCCTGAACCAGTGGATTCGACGGGGAGAAGCCGCTAACAGCCAGCAGGCTGCTCAAGGAGTCGGAAAGAATTAAATGCAGATTGCTATCGTCCACTTCAACAAAACAGAGAGCTTTGCTAATGGCTATAAGCTCGGAAGTGTAGACCGACGCGTGTGAAGGCAGTGTGAATGACCGTGTGGTGGATCCACACACAAAAGCGCACCCTACACCTGCATCCGTCTTCGAACCATCTGTATAAATCATCTTGCACCCATCAAAGGAGGCCATGTGCTCTAAAGCTGCGCCTTTGAGTTCCGTCATGAGGACACGTTGCTTTTGCATATTATATGCGTAGTTCAAATACCACAAAGCCGGCAGGAGATTCAGAAAGGCACCCCATGAGTGCTGTGTTCTTACCACATATTTTCAGGGGTGCTTCCAGTTCCAGGAGGATGGGCTGCTGCAGGAAGATCTCACGCGACTTAAGGCACAGGCTGCGCACCTCCATCTCTGACATCTGCACTGACTTGCCTGGCCGACATCCTCGCACTGAGGGAACATGTCATCCTCACACCGAGACAAAATATCCTCCTCCCCCCAGAAAAACACATGATCCACACACTGAGAGAACACATCATCCTCACAATGTGAGAACACATCATCCTCACAATGAGAGAACACCTCATCCTTGCACTGTGGGAACACATGGACAATTACAAACACTGCCAGTGATGGGCAGCACAAGCTGGGGCTTACCTTCTGCTTGGCACATTAATTCTCAGACCAAGTGGAGTAAAAAGACAGACAGAGCATTGTGTTTAGATGCTCAGCTATTAGCAGCAGCATTAGGTGCAGATTCCTAGAAACTGACCTTACTATAGGAGATGTAGCAGAGAAATCAAAGAAGGCTTAAAACTACATTTAAGTGCAGCAATACATATCATGCCATATGATGATATAACACCATGAAAATGTGTTATAATCATGCATGGAATCAGCTGTTGGCCACACCAACTCCCCACATTGTTTTTCTTACATGGCTGTAGACAACAAAATCACAAGCATGGAAGAGGCTCTACATACAGCACCAGAGCTTCCTCTCATATCTTCTCACATGTTGACATAGCACTTGATAATTTGATGCGCTCAACCGATAGTCCAAATCTAGCTATCACTTAACCATTTGGAAAATGATATATTTGTAACTCACTTTGTCAGAATATCTGTCCTTGCATCCAACTATATGTTGCACATTGGGCTTGAGCCACATTTTGAACAATGCCCATCCCTGCCCTGACAGGGATGGCCTATGGTCAGTGCCAGGTGCCACACTTAAGTTGAAGAAATCAAGGGCAGTAAGGAATATTCTAAGCATCACAGCACATTTGGCTGCTAGTGCCAAACTTCAGTTTGATGGTGGAGTCAGGGCTTCTTGAAGCACTAAAATGAATGGTGAACCTATAAAAATTAGGTGCAAGGCTAACACTACACCAAAAAAGTATATGTACTTTACATATCATCATGACAAACTCGCACCAAACTCCCAACCCCCACCCAACTCCGGCACCTACACCTAGATATCTTTTCAAGAAACAGCATACATAATCAATTTACCTGTATCACTTGAAACCATTTACAGAGATTAAGGGTAACTAAAAGCAGTTTTGGATTTGTTGCTAACAACATAGCCAATAGTATGACAAAGTGCATAAAGAGGCGAAACAGCATTCTTTCAACCACTTGCTACTCCTTAAAATTGACAGTCATGTGAATGATACTTTTCTGTTCATTCACTAACAACATTGCTTTTCGTGCGATGAGTTCTTTTAATCTGTGCATTAGAATTCACTTTTTGGAACTCACTTTTTTAAATATTAACCAGTCTGCAAAAAGCTACACTGAGCATAGCCATCATAGCAACCATGCTCACTGAACAACTTCAGCTCACATGATTGATTTCAGTGCATCAAGTTGAGCTGACCACCATCAGCAGCTTGTGCATGAAATGCCAATACTTCAACTGAATGTGATGCACCAGACCATTTTTCAAGTTAACAATGTCAATTCCTTAAGTTCTGCATAAAACAAGCATTGAACATGCATGCAACACATTCAGAGTCTCAGACCATCAAAACCACTGATGAATCTGGCTTGGTGGACAGGTTTTAAGCAGAACAGCACCGGAATGTTGACAAACATGTGCAACCTTGATCGAAGACAGGTCAGACACACAACAATGCACCTATCAATCCACAGAGTCAACAGCGACTCCAAATTTTGGCAAGCCAGCATACTGCATTGATGAAACAGCTCACATAATGATGCTTAGCAGGCCTCATGTCTTATAAACATCTAAACTAGAACATGTGCATATAAACGGGTACATCAAATGGTTGTTTATACTTAGTCTTGTTGTTCACGAGACGAAAACGACGCACAATCTCATGTGATTTTAACAGCATTTTCGCGACATCGCAAAATATTTTGAGCACAGGAAAAGACAAACATCACACCAAACACATTATGCCAGAAAAACAAGCCACGTTACCTTCTAGAAGCCGAGAAATCAGGCTATCCACGTTTAACTCGCCCTCCGCCATCTCAATTATTAGCTGAAGGGCTTTCGTTGCAAGCTGTTGGAAAACGGAGGTACACAGCAAAACAGCAATTTCTCATATGACGTAACAAGTGCAGTCATACCCAGGGCTACCAGACCACCCTCATCCCCTCAGCTATGCGGTGGATCTTATGACGTCAAGGGATCATGACGTCATATATAGGATGGTACGAGAGCTGCCAAACAATCTTGGCCTTAGTTTTCACCATCCAGTTCGACAACGTTTCTATCAGGAGCCCGCGCTGATTTGGTTGGTCCGGTCTGCAGTCAAGTTCGGTTTCGGTAACGTCGCCTGGGAGCGGTTTGCTTCGTATTAGCAAGTGAACAGCTCACTATTTTGAACAGTTTTGAGACGTAAACTCAAGGTATGTGTGTGAAAAACATCTTATGACGGTGGGACGGTGTGATGTGATGTAAGGTTGAGTTGGCACTAACATTGGTGCTGGTGTGGTTGGAAGCTGCCCAGTTCAGGGTGTGCAGCTTTTTATTGTGCCCATATTATAAGGGAAAGTAACTTTTTGGGTAGGCCCTGTTAAAATTTGGGTATTTAAGAATGTTTGAATGCAGGATTTTTCAACCGGCCATGACTAGTATGCAGAAAAATTGTTCTCAGTTGGTGTAGATGGAGCTCCCCCTGCTGTACAGGAAACTTAAGCTGTCCATGGCAGACAGTAACATTGTGATATTTTTCCTCTCTGTATGCTGCAGATTTGTAAATGGAAGCATTTTAATCATACACAATGGTTTTGGGCAGAGAGAATCCAGCCCTGAAAAGTGTAGTAAGCTGCCCCAGTTGCAGCAGAGTCTGCTAACACTTCTTATCCCAAACAGCACTGATCTTTCACAACAGATAGTGATTCTGTGATCCCACCTGTTTTGTGTGATTTAGCAAGTTATGATACCTTATGATTGCTGTCATCAAGTTTTGATAAATTTTCCTAGATTGGAAGTTGTGCCCAACCTGTGCACCAACAAGGTCTTATTAAAGTTGACAATAGTTTGCAAATTGGGTTATAAGCCAGTTCTTAAACATATAGCATATGTAACTGCTGGTAGATGAGTCATCCATTCATCCATTTTCATGTACTAATGTAGCATTGCATCTTCAGTTGATGCCTGGTATATGCAGATTCAAAGAGAAAGTTCATATTTCACAACATTTGTGTAGTGTTTGATGCAAGGTTGGAGTCTATGCTGTATGTTTTGTGCATCTGCACAGTGCAGTAAGCTGCTACCTTTTTCTGTAAAAGTTTAAGTGGTTGCTCAAAAAAGTTAACATATGCCCTTACCAAGGTTTAGCTGGGTATGTGTGCACTTTGTCCTTCTTGCATATGTGACTATATCAAGGTCCACTAAACCCATAATTGTGAATTGAGATATACCTAGAAATGGGCAGCTTGATTTAATCATTGGATCCTTTTATTTGCCCACAGATAGGCTGCCTATGCTACAATGACTGCAACCTTCTGGTGTCCACATAGTGGGTCTATGTAGATTGAGTTACAATGCTATATTAAGAGTGTTTTTGCACCAGCATTTTAGCTTAAAGTATTTTGTGTCAAGGAGTAAAAGTCAGAAGAGTGAAATCAAAAATAACATTTCAGACATTCAGTATTTTTAATGGTGAAAAGCCAGCTTTAAAGTCCAACTTGTTTGCCTGTTTTAGCCAAAATAGAGGAGAAAATGTATGTGGTAGATTCAGTCCATTCTGTGTAGCTCCCCTTTGTTGTTAGTGGTAGTTTTTATAGGGCTAGTGAGTCATGTTTGTCATGTAATAAAAGTTGGGAAAGTGGGGAAGGTCTTAAGTCAAAATTATAGGAGTTGGATGGAGAATGGCATTCTATTTGAGTGAAATGTCTTTGTTACCAGGGGAAATGTCATGCTTAGGAAACAAGATTACTCATCAGTCTCTTCATCCAAGTTACCCTCAAGGTCATGATTGGCTGGCTAAAATGTTGTGTGATAAGATTGGCTGTCATTTTCCTGTGGTTCAAATGTGTGGACTTATTTGCAATGAAAAAAGGTGGCATGGAAATATAATACAAACTGCACTGGTATGCAAGTTGTTTTACCACCTACATTATCATGTGTCCACCCCTACAATGCCTGAGAAAGTAGCATGTACAGCCATTCCCTGTATCACAGACTTGTGTAAGTGATGATCTGCAGGTGCAGTGCCCATACCATTTTCACAGCTGGACATCCAGCTCTCCTTTGATGTGCACATGTGGAATCTTTTGGCCAGGGGCTGGCTGACATGAAATTTTGTTTGGTTGTTATAGTTCTCCACTTTTCCAGGCCCAAACGTGCACCAGAGTTGGTAACCCCCTTTATTGTGCCCAGATGTCACGCAAGATCTATTTCTGCGGCTCAATCCGCGCTGGTCGGCAAGACGTGGCTCTGTATGGTCGCATCGTGACTGCCCTCAAGCAGTACGGCACGGTGCTGACCGAGTTTGTGGCCGACCCGGCCGTCACCCACCTAGGCTCGGACGAGGGCAAGGCCTCCACCGACCGCGACATTCACGACAGAGATATCAGGTCAGTGAGAGAGCTGGGGTCATGCAGAAGTGGGGTGTGGTGTAACAAATCTGCTTATTAGACAATGCTATTTGTGATGTTGCACGTTTATGCCTTTCCTTTTGATGCCTGTGTTTTCTCCATGTCAAGAAACTGGTGCAGTTTGGGATTGTTTGTCACTATCCCACGTGTCTCCCATCATCAGTATATTCGCGGCTACATGTGTATGTATGCATGTATGTATGTATGTACGTATGTATGTATGTATGTCAGCATGCATGGATGCATGCATACATGTATTATGCATGTATGTATGTATGCATGCATGAATATGTACGTTCTTGTTCAGTCGTCGCGAGCAGATGCCAGTCGCGTTGTTCGTAAAACGACACAAGAACCGAATATGGCCATGTTCACCAGCACCTTGTCCATGTTCTGACTGACCTGAGGCGACTGCTGCCACCGTGCTGAGAACAGCGGCCTGACACGCGTGCCGTCTCTCCAGCCTGCTGGAGGAGTGCGACACGATCGTGGCCGAGGTGACGCAGCCGTCGCTCGGGGTGGGCTACGAGATCGGTCGCGGGGTCGCCATGGGAGGTCGACGCATCCTCTGTCTTTACCGGCCGCAGCCGGATAAAAGTAAGGCTGACGGCGGGCTCCATTCGGCAGGGTGTCGTTCGTTCAGCGAAGGAGGGATGGCGGAATGCTGTCCTTTCGGTGTTCAAACGTTCGGCCACAGGGTGGCAGGGGCGGCGATATTTGTCCATGCTTTTTCACCCTGGCTTTGGGCTCACTGCCTGTCGCCCCTCCCCTTGCTCAAAATCGGCCAATCAGCATCGGACCGGGCGGCGGTCAACCCCTGCATTCACGCGCCTCTTGCTAGACAACCGGGCCGGGCCAGTCAGATGTCAGCGTTCGAGGTCAAGGGGCAACGGATTAGCGCTGGCGAATTGCACGCGCAGACGGCCGAAGAGCCAGGATTCTGGCAGCATAAGGTTACTTTTACATCCTACACACCTTACTGGATGAATGTCGGAACGCTGCGTCCTTTTTGTCCGCTGTTTGCGTGTCGCCCGCGTTACGATGTTTTTCTAGTGTCATCATGGTTAACTGGAAGTAAGGTAACATTCAGTAAGACGGCGATGGCCATCAACGGTGGGTTGTTCGTGCTTGCCGTTGTGACAGGTCACCTTCTGTTTCACGGTTGCACGCGCCACAGCTGAGACAAAGCTGCCAGGGCATTTTTTAGAGCTCCCTGTTAGGCGCATGGATCTAGCCGCGCGCTTGCCTCCGGCTCAGCTCGCTGCGTGATGGACGGATGTGCACGTGCGACGAGGTCTAACGTGTGTTGTTGCCGGTCAGGACTGTCGGCCATGATCCGGGGCATGCCGCCGTCCAAGGACCTCAGCGTGGTGGACTACTCGAGCGACGACATCGAGAAGGTGCTGACCGACTTCTTCTCCGCCGCCTAGCCTGCGAAGCCGCGCCGTGCGGCGCTGGCCTCGGGCCGGTGCCCTGGGGTTGCAGCTGTGTGCTTGAGCCAGGCGAGAACTCTCAGGCTCGATGAGAGGGCAGGACCTGGCTCAGACGTCTGGTTCTGCTCACTGTTCACGGAGGTGAAGACAAGACCTGGCACATACAGCGGAAGCTTTGGAATTGGGGCGGAATTCTCGGCTCAAGGAAGCTTTTGGACGTAGAGGAGGACTTGAGATCCGGCCGTCGAGCACATCTCAAGACAAAGTGTGGGATGATGGCATTTTCACCACGGGCAGGCTGATTGCTTGGTCTGCGAGAGGCTCTAGTTGGAAACAAACCAATTTCTGGCCGTTCACTGTGTGGAAGAACCTGGTGTGGGTGGTGTAGCAGTCTCTGCTCGACTCGCGGCTGGTCGTGCTCGTCGGTGTAGAGTCGAACGCTGGCGCGAAAAAAGCTGTGACGCTATTCTCGATGCCCTCGATGTGTACCTGGTACCGATGATATTTTTATAGTCAGTTGTTAGTCGTTTTGAACGTTTTCGGCAGGGAATAAACACTTTTCACGAACACTTTTCACAAACACAATTCTGACTGTGTCCCCGCTTCGGTGTTCATTGGTTTCCGTAGCTGCACCTGGGGTCTCGTGCCGGACCGGTGCAGGTGGCTCTGGAAGCTGGTACCCAACGTTGTGGTCCGTCATCTTTTTGTTTTTTTCTGCCAATTATCGTTACAGAATATGACGTGACTGTAATTATCTGAATCCGAAGTGCAGCGATAATTGCGTCAGAAAATTCGAGACTGGATATTCTGGACTTTTACGGCATGCTCGCCTTGAGGATGCCGCTCAGCGCCACCCGGTAGCCCATTGTTTTCCGTTTGTACCATCGGGTCTCGTCAAGACCTTTCACGAATTCGGGTTGGGAAGAGTTGCGGTTTTTATGAGCGTGATTCTGCACACGAGCTACGAAACGCGGGCCCCACACGTTCCATGTCCCGTTTATGGCGACTAACCACCCAACCTCGCCCTCGCATACAAGGCTCCGCGTAATGACAATATCACAGGGCCTCGGGTTGGACGGCCCGGTCGGGGCCGGTGCCCGGGCACGCGCGCCTGGCCGCGGTCGGCGCGCGCTCGCCACGGCTTCAGATAAGGGCGCAGTGTGGCCCAAGTGGCGGCTCGTCCACGCATTTGCTGTTGGTGGGGCAGTAGCGGCCCTCGCAACCGCCCGTCTCTGCGGAACAAGCGGCTGGGTTAGGCCAGGTCAGTTCGGGCACTGCCGGCGCGACAACGGCCGGCAGCGGACGCGGGCGAGCTGAGCACGCCCGTGTCGCCTGATTGGTCCAGATTGCGCGCACACATTGGAACCCCCCGGTGCTGTGAGAACCGCGATGCAAATGCACGTTTGCTGTTCATGTAACTAAACACATGCTCGACGCAAGTAATGTCTGTCGCAATAAGGCATACTTGGTAGGGAGAGATGGACGACCAAGGCGTCCTGCGGACAGAGCCAAGTCACCCCATTCTGGGTTGCCGTGCTGACACGCTCAGATGACAATTTGTGGCTGGGTGTGAGCCACCCCTCAGCTTGGGTTCTTCAGATGGAGGGGGTGCGTGGTTGGGAATGATGCATAGGAACGCCGTACGTCTAACGCGCCTGCCACACGCGTTGACCAGGCACCGCAAGACCGAGCTTAATGCCAACTACCACAGCGCCAGCCTACCGCTGGCCCGCACCGAACGCGCTTCGCACAGTGGCGCCACCTACACTCGTCCGCTGGGTGGCGCCCGCGGCGGACGCGCCGCCGCGTGTACTCACTGGTGCCGCGTCGGCAGAGGGCGCCGTCGACGGTGTCAATGCAGGTCAGGCCGGGTTCGCACACGCGCACCATACACGTGTTCGGCAGGCAGATGGGCGAGCCGCCGCGTACGTAGCAGTTGGTGCCACGGCGGCAGTAGAAGCCCTCGCACGACGGCACGTCTGGGGGCGGACAGGGCCGGGGTGGCACGTGCTGACGGTCGGCAAGCGCACGCTGCGGGTTCCCGCTTCACAGATTTAAGCAGACACTACCCCGCCCCAGGAGTGAGGAGAGATGCCTCCGACTGAGACCCTCTAACCTTATTCCACGGCAACATTAGTAACAGTGGGATCAGGCATATGAAAGGCCATCCGGGAGATGACAAAAGTTAAATCGCAGCCTCGTTTATCTGAAACCAAGCCTTTGGTGGTATGTTTTTAGCGTCCATCACAGTCGATGTCATACCAAGCCGATTGACGGCACCACCAGAAGTGCTGACCTGGGACGCAGTCGGGACCATCCGGCAGTTCGTTGCACAGCTCGCCAGCGGCGCAGTAAATGTCGTTACAGGTCACTGCAATCAGACATTGAGGCCTTAGGTGGGAGTTAAAGCGACAATTTAACGTGCTATGGTGCATGCGGACAATCAGCGTGATGTTTTGTATGGCTGATGGTTTACGGACATGACACTGTCTTAATATTGCCGGCGGGCAAAAGTAGTTATCACCTCAGCTTATCCTTGTCGACGGCGAGGATGAAAGGCGCGTCTCGAAGTTCGTGACGTCAGGGAAGCATATTTCGTGTGTTATTCAAAAGCAACGCTGTCTTCATCAAAATGCTAACGATCTCGAGGTGCGCTTTTGGCCTTTGGCGGCAGATCTGTGCTATACATTATGAAGGCTACAGTTGAGGGACATGAGTATCCACATTCACGGCACGAAGACTTACGCGGCTTGCAGACGGGGCCCGCAGGCGTATCCACACACTTCTCATTCTTTGCACAATTGAGAGTTTTGCACGTGGGTTTGTCTGAAACAGGCAGCATGTCATGTTGAACGAATGCTTATTTTCACACGCTTTCAAAGCAAACATACAGTTCAAAACTAAGGCAGCGCAAAGAACGAGGTTAGCGATAGAAGTCTGCCTTAGCATGACTGGTCGGGTCTGCCCGGTCGCGGGGCTCGGCATTCCCACATCACGGCAGGGACAGAAGTACTTGATCAGCCCGGCGTACACAATCTTTCTGCACCTGTGCTCGTCTTGGCAGCGATTTAGCGTCTGATGAGATAACCGGCAGACTGGTATCCATGGGTGTACATTTTCCTATGCCGCGCGCCACGCGTTTCCCGGCGCCTGGCGTCCGGCTCAGTCGCGGGGTCGTTCGGTGAAGTCGTACCTACCTTTGATGCAGACTTCGCAGCGGCACTGCTGCACTTCGCATGAGTACCCGACGTCGCAGCGCTTGCCGCACCCTGAAATCGACGCAGCGATCAGCTGACGGGAAGCGGCACTCGGTTGTTCGACACGCACGCGAGGACACGCACGACACGCACGCGAGGACGCCCGCAGGGCGCGGGCGGGAAAGGGTGACACCAAGGGGGTTGCCATGCTGCTGCAGGACCGCGGCCTCCAATTCCCTGTCCTCTCCTCTGCATTTACATCCGGCCTCTAAACCCAGCTGACCTTAACCTGCACCCGGCCGCGGGAGGGGAGAGTTGACGTCCCCGTACAGTCTCGTGTGTAGGCCATAATGAACGCTCCTAGCGCCACGAAATTTGTAGTACCTATTCATCTATCAATTTGATGTTCTACTTGATCAGACAGTTTTGATCTACCAAGACCAAAACTTTAGTGACCTAAATTAGGTCAAAGAGTTCGACCTCTCAAAAATGACCGCGCAAAACTTTTTGTGGGTCATTTGCCTTAGGTCAAGGTTGCTATGGTAGTAGAACATGATACTACCTGCGCTTTGCTTAGTTCACATTCTTACAAACAGACGACTTCAGTGACCTGAAGTCAGGTCGAGTTTTGCTATGTTTCGTAAATATTGCAAAGATGTACAGATTTTGTGTAGTTTTGGCGTTTATGTACGAGGAAAAGAGTACTAACTCAGATGCACAGCCGTTGTGTGACCACAGAGCACGTGGTCGTGGGCTAGGTCACGACTTACCTATATCGGTGCACTCCGCAAAACATGCTGAGCTCAAATAGGCGGTTTTATGAGGTGATTTTGGAAGCGGAATTCAAATACTGCACTGAAAACATGTGATATCAATCTAAAGGATAATTGGGTCACGGAGGGTCACGTGGGGACATGTAAGGTCATATAAAGTCATCCAAGGTCAGTGACCTATGTTGTCAGGAGCGGAGATGATAAATGAACGAGTGCAACACGTGCAACCACCTCCTTGTCGTGTTTGTGCAGTTGGTGACGTACAATTTCATGTACCAAAGTGCCTGTTCCCACACTGGCACTAATGCATTGTCAAGCGCCGAAGGAACCGTGCATGATGTAGGCAACAGTTATATTTAATTCCCATTCCAACACCGTCCGACACGTTGGTGCCCCAGCTATCTACTGGAGGGCGATGAATGTCCCCCCCCCCCACCCCCCTCCTCCCGTTTGAGCCGGCCTCGAATAGAAAACGAGCTAGCCGCCTAAAGCGAAAGGACGTGGGACGCGCGCTTGTCGTAACACACATGTCACAACCATCACACCGTACTTGATTATAAATTGATCGATTCTGTAATGCAAATTTCTAGCGCACTGATCATACGCATTTTCGTGGACTGCAAAAGGCGTGTGGATAAATTATCTTCTATTTTGGAGCCTCCCAGGATACTTGTGATATACGTCCGTGGCAAACTCAGCCATTTGCTATCGGGAGCTTTTGTAAGCTGTGCATCGCTATATACTCACTATCACCGGTGCCCCCCAGAGCCAAGGTGACCAGGTCGTTATAATCCTGGGTTTTGACGTAAGCGCAGATTGTAAGGAGCACAAGCAGCCGCATGTTGTCTGTAAAAGGGAGTAGAAGAGTGTTAACCTGCGATGTTCACACATTCACTGTTACATCGACATAAGCCTCAACAATGCACAGATGTTTGAACATGCTGCCTTAATTTGTGATGTGATGTAATGTTACTATTACCTCAGTGGAACGTAGCCGTTCGAAAGCTGTTTACAAGTCCACATGGAAACACGCACGGTCACCTTTATACTCTTTAATTACAAAAAATCAAGTGAACCATTAAAACGAAGGAACTGATAAACACAGTATGTGACTGGCACGCACTTGTTGGTAATGTCTGTAGCATTTTCTGAAGAAAAGGGACAAGGTAGTGCGTAGTGCGTACGTCTAAATCATCATCACTGGCTATGTGACTAGCATTTTTCCAGTTATTACTTTTCCTACGGAGCCGCTTCTTGTTTAACCAGCTGAACTCATCACGTTCATTGGTACAAACAGCGCTTCAAAGGTGAAAATATGCAGATCTTAACCAACTTAACTTGTCTGTGTACAATTATTTATTGTGTATGCATGCACAGTGCATGATGATTATTCTATAAATGCACGCAAATCATGGTAGTTGGGACTTGTGACAAGTAAAAGACCTGCACCTAAATGTGTTCCGCTGTTTCACGTAGCTCAACCATTTTGCACTGGTATACTCATCCACATCGACAGCGCAGACGTCTGGAACACACGGCACCGAGCGCGTCCTCACCAGTCTAACAGTGGCCGGTGTATAGAACTGCTTCTTCCAAAACTTGACTCCTACTGCGAACACCTGACCAGCCCACGAACGCTGCCGGGCCCCGGGTGCGGACGCTCCACCTGTCGTGCCGTCGCCAGCAGACAGCTGGCAGTAGCGCGGTCGCCGGCCTTTTTATATGGCCTCGGCTGGTCGGCGCCCCACTGGCCATGGGGGCGTTCCTGAGCCTTGCGACGGAGGACGCGTGCCAGGCTCCGCCGTGCTCGCGCAGAACATTCCTTGAATCGGTGCACCAGCGAGCCGGGATGGGAAAACGTTTGTTGACTGCGTGCTTCTCCATGCCGGTACCAGGGCCGGACGCCGCGAGCCCGGGCACGGTTCGGACATGCCCGTGTCCGTGCGGCACGCAGGCACGTCCGCGCACGCAGGGTCGGGGTGTTCCTTCGTGGCGTCAGGCAGCTGGCATGTGTCGCCGTGCATGCGTGTTATCCGTTACCCCATGGACTAAGCCCCTTAGCACGTTACTTTCCATACACGGAACTCACAGCAGGCATCCGCCCTTCCAGCGATGTGAAGTGCTTCGCGTCGTCGGCATGTTCACTAAAGGAAAAAATATTTTGATGTTACATAACACTGACGCTTCCGGACTAAGGCAGCACGCTTTCACCAACCGGATGGGCGCGTGTGTTCCCTCATTCGCATGATCCGCGTCCCTCTCTATCGGCTGCACGGAGCCGGCGGCGTGCACTGACGGACGTGCGGCACGGCCCGGACCAGGATCGCTGGGGCTGGGGGAGGGGGGGGGGAGGACTAGCTGCTGCGGTGGAGTGATGGCGGTCGAGGGGTCACCGGCCGCTGGAGACTCCGGCCTGACCTCTTGATGTAAGCGACCTCTCAGGCGCCGGAGCGGGGACAGGAGACGCGCCAAATGCGCAGTACTATGTCCAACGCGGATGCGACCAAAAAATACCCGTACCGTGCCTCTGTTTATAGGTGTGCGGTATTTATAAACTTACAAACCTGAACCTGATCAGCAATAGATGTTCGTTAAATTAAATGATTCTCAACCTTGCACCTCTCAGCACCCATGTAAAAAATGCCAACCACCTCGACCGATCCTCACGGCTGAATTCCAGGCTTGGAATATAATTTGAATACAATTAGAAGTAGAGTTTGGGTGAACTTAAGGCAAGACAAGGCTGCAAAGAGTTTTGTTTCATATCAGAGCTTATTATTTGTTGAAATCACGAGGCATTGAATGTCAATGAAGTTGCATGAAAACCACCCATTTTCTTGTATTAGAGTGCCGCACATACTAAAAGCGCATGGAAACATTGACAAACAAACATAGCGCATTGAGAAAAGCGCTTTAACACTTTTTAGTGCATTAATTCATCATGAAAACGAGTATTGTCGTAATATAGTGTTAACTGGTATTGGTAGCAAGAAGCGCTCTAGTTCCCGGTTCTTCGACGTGAGTTGGTAGTTCTTATGCTGGGCTATCGACCTTCAACATGCCAGGGGTACAGGTCAAACGACGTTATAAAGCAAGTATTGCTCAGATCTATTGCCAAAACTCGATCTTGCAAGCTGTTTAACGTTGTTCAAACCAGTGCCTCCTGCTAAATCGAAGGTCGATGATAGCATGAACGCTGAGAGCTCATAACATCCACGGGCCTCAGTTCACATACCTTCGCAGTAGAACGCGAGGGTCTGAGGTTCTAAACGCATCGATATCATGTCATCATAATTGTACGTCATCATTATCATTATCACATCCGCTTCAAGTGAGATGTCATAGCTGAACTTTAAAACAGCTTTGGGCCGAATAATTTTCACGTTATTATAAATTTGATATCAGGAAGACGAATCGAAGTGGCAGAAATTCAGGGAGAAATCGGAATATAAGTGAAGGTCAGGCCGATTTTTGGTTCAGCCCCCAGTCGATTTTGAAAAATGAACTCCCTCTGCCTCACTACTGTGACCGCCCTTCCCTTCACTATTAATGTCGATGTATATTTCGTGTCAAGTCATGCCCTTCAGGCACCTAATATTTTGATCATGCCAACTTGTTCATGTGTCGGGACAATCTGCAAATGTTTCGCAACTTTTCACATCGTAACACCTGGATTGTGGTGAAGAGCAGTTAGGCGCGATGTGCGGGAACCTCTTAGAGTACCAGGTGGCCTACATAGTTTCCCAAGCAGTGACAAGCGTGTTTACCCCATGATCGTGGCTGTAGTGAGCTTGGTGTCCTTCTATTGTAAATTGAATGACAAAACACGATCAGCGAGAGCGTGGTCATCAGTGATTTCACGCCGGTCAAAAGGTGGCAATAAAAGGTGCTCTAGATGGCTAACGTGCTGCCAGTAGTCAATTATCCGGTTGATCGTTCGCGGTGATGCCCCCAATGTTAAGTCTGAAGGTGGCCTCAAGCTTTTAAAGGTACGCTAGCTTGTCCACATGGACGTAGTTCTTAAGGTTGCCCTACGGAGTCCAGGGGTGACAGGTCGGGCGAGTGAGAAGCCACAGCACGGAGTCCAGGGGCGACAGGTCGGGCGAGTGAAAAGCCACGGTAATCTTACCCTGATGTGCGTCCCAGCGAAGTAGTGTTCAAATGCATCCAGTAAAACCCGCGCCATGTGTGGTGTCACCCCGTCCTGCTGGAGCCATGTGTGGTGTCACCCCGTCCTGCTGGAGCCATGTGTGGTGCCGCCCCGTCCTGCTGGAGCCATGTGTGGTGCCGCCCCGTCCTGCTGGAGCCACTCCTTGCCTCGATCGATCCTGTGAAGTCACCCCAGAGCCGTTCAGAAGGATATCAGAGAGTTGGCGATGTAGCGCTCTAGAGTGGTGTTGACAAGATACTCGTTCTCGTCCTCAAAGAGGCATCTTCTGTGGCGTCATTATTTCATGAATGTGAGAACACTGATGTCTACCGTTGTTTTGCCATCTCTTTTTGCCATTGACCTTCTTCATTGCTCCATTGCTTCATTGCTCCTTCATTCGAATGTCAGCGCAGTCTTAATTTTGCGAGAAACACACCACTTCCCTTATTTGTGGCTAAAGGACTGGGTTCTTAGTAGCCATGGGGTATTCGGAATTATTCTGCAGTATTATAAGGGCGGCTATGAGTTTTTTAAGACTTAGTCCAAACCCTTTGATTGGCTGTGTTTGTGGGATGAGCGCCCACTCTAAGCAGTGCTTGTTTGGCGAGTCATTTTCCGATCACGAAATTCCGGGTGAACGGCAGAATTTAGAGGCGAAGGTTCAGCATACCACAATACTTGGCACGGTCAATCCCGCCCTGTGACTCCACCTGACCCTTAGCGCGGCCGCTACCACAGGCCGCAGGCTACCCCAGTCGGAGACAAATACCAAACGCCTGAAGCGACTCGAACCCACCGCGCCACAGGTCTTTGAATTGGAAGGCAGGCGCCTGGCTAGCTGAGCTATCGGGATGAGCTTAAGTACATTGCTGGACGTGACGATTTAGAGTACTGTTCGGCGGTGTATACTTTATCCGTTGTCGCATACTTTACCTGTAAGTGTACCGTATATACTTTACCTGGTTGGTTCCATAACCAGGTGTCGAGATGTGAAATGGACGCGTCTTTTATGGTGTGTTTCTGAGTGAAAGACATGTCCGGGTGGTGCTGATCGACTTATGCAAAGGAATCTGACCATGGCTTCGAAACATAGCGTTTTCTCAAAATAATCAATGTTTTTATACCTTTTTTAATTACTCCCTTCCGATATGGCGAAGATCGATTCTTTTCAGCATCACAATCTCCAGCTCATCACCCCCAAACCCCAAATTCAAGGCCTTCCTTGCTTATACTGAACTCAAACATGGCTTAAAACACTAGAGAAACTAATTTCAAAACGGCCGTTCCGGGAAATTAATCGTTCACCAGGCTTTTCCCCACTCCGTCCTTTCAGTTATCGGCATGTCTGTTGAGAAGGTAGCACACGTTTAATTCTACTTTCATATATGGCACATCGTGGCAGTGTGATCGATAATTTTCCACAGGCTCTCGCCCTTACGTGTAGGGTCACGCCATTCACCATAAACGGTTTTTTGCGCCTTGGGCCCAGTGATGCAGGCGAGGGGAGGGTTCATGGGTTTTAGCCCCCCCCCCTCCCCCTCCCCCCGGTTCGAACGCGCTTTTTTACCACGACATCACTGGCTATCAGTCCGGAATTTGGTGATCATAGAACCTGTTTTGGTCCAAGACGTCATAAATACTGCCATGCGCAGTGGTATGTTGAGCTCAATAGCCGTGATATAAAAACAAGAATAGCAGATACCCAAGTGAACTTGTATGGAACGCAGCCAGTGATTGTTTAGGCACCAGGGCAAGCTATCACCGATCGCTTAATGACGCGCTGGGTACTGTACCTATGCGTCTGTGGGTTTTGTCTGTTTGCGGTACGTAGGCGCTGTCAGCGGAGCTGAAGCTCGCTCGTAAAACATCAGCCTACCCATGTCACAAATTATGGTAGCCTCCCACGTCGCCAAGTCTGACTGCAACCCAGCCTGGGCCACTTTCGGTGAGCACGGAGCGATGAGCGACACCTTTTTTCGTTGATCACAAAGCCTCGAATTACTAAGCTATTTGTGTCTGTCAATTACACCCCATTCTAAGCTTTTTACACTCCTGCAGCTTCACACCACCTTCCAATGAAAAATAATCCCTCCGCAGCAAAGTAATATTGGAATCTGCGAAATTTTTATCACTTTTTCACGATTTTGACATTTGGAAAACAAAACAAAATTGCCAAAATCAAATTGAGGAATAGGGCACGCCGAAAGCATCTCCATCGATGTCACATAATCAGGAAAGCACATAAAAACTGACCACATGTTCGGTCCCAGCCTTCAGGTTTCTTTTTTACGTACAACCCGAGAGAAAGCTGTGCGAGGGCCTAGTTCAATCACCAAAGTGGAAAATCCTAAGCCGAACCCACGTACTCCAGTATCTCGACGAAATCGCTGGTCGCATCGAAACCAATATCTTTAAGACTTCTCATCCGTGACATAAATTCACGGCGTGTCAAAAAAACGCGTCAGTAGCTTGCCCGCGCACCGCAATCATGGCCATGAACTTTCCAGGCCGGGTTTGTTGATTCGGGGTCTGTTG